GTAAGCGGATGGATGGATGGATGGATGGATGGATGGAGGACAGGATGCACCAGCACAAACTGAAATAACATCTGCCCAGAGAAGCTTGTTTTGACAGTTATGATGAATCACTAAAGCTTGTCTGGAGTCAGCAGCTTCATAGGAAGCACATCCTGGTCATTAACCAGGCATATGAACCAGCCCTTTCTTATTTACCTAGAGTACAGGTCCACCAACCTAATTGTGAGTCAGGACCCACATTCCTTGTTCTAAGGGTCCTTAAGCCACTGGGGGGGGGGGGGGTCTGCATCATCTGATGTGTAACTATAGGTGGGACATGAAGAGCTATTTCTCCAGAGACTAACCATAACCACAGAAAAATGAAATCAGCAGCATGAATTGCCCGTTTTCAGTTAAACTCCTGATAACAAACGACCCTCATGACTCCTTTGAGGGCTCGGGGACACACCCGCACGCCTGCAGCTTAAATTTGTTGATAATTTATCACATTTCATTGCCTGAGAAAGCTGAAGCACAGTGACTGAAGATACACCAGTGAAACCTGTATGGATTGAACCAGCTAGCCCAGAAATATAGGGGTGTATACAGGGTTATTTTAGCATGGACAGGACGTATATGACATCAGCAGACTTCCCCTTCAGACCTCCACATTCTGGGGCATCCTGTTCGCTTCTCTGAGACCTGTGAAGACCGAGACATGTCACATATGCTGCGTTCATTATGCGCATCTACTGAGACACACCCTATGAAGGTCTCGGTTGAGCGTTCCAGGTCTGAATGGCCGGATACTGAGGTCTCATCCGTTACCCTCCTTGGCAACTGTGCTGTGGGACACATTTCTTCTCAGAAGAAACCTCTCCACACCTGCCCTTTCAAATATCAGGTTCATAAGCATGCTTAGGAAATTAACGGGACCGTACCTTGAAAGTTTGTATCACAATAATCTCATACATGTACAATAGCAGGCAAACGTTTGGACACGCCAATGCATCCTACAAAGGAGAGTGATACTGTACGTCACATATCCTGGTCACCTGACCTAAACACAGCAGAAAAGATTTTGGAGGAGATTGACCAGAGAGTGAAGGGAAAGTGGCCAATGAGAGCTCAGCATGTATGTAGGACCTCCTTCAGGACATCTGGAAAAGCATCTCAGGAGGCCACCTCATGGAACTGGCATAGAGGAGAAAGTAGGGTCAACCAGTTCCTGTTTCCAATTGGGGTTAAGGGCCTTGCTCAAGGGCCCAATGGTGAGATCACGCTGCCAACCCAGAGATCCCCCCCTCCACACACACACACAGCAATCCCGCGTTTGCACGAATATCACTGCCATTCCACCGCAAGGAATGAGCAACCCATTTCAGTTTGGCGGGATTCGAACCAGCAACCTTCAGAGTCCCACCCCACAGAGCTGCCACACCCCAAACAAACCATTATTTCTTTTTTAATACTTTTTTGGTCAATGCATAATTCCATGTATGATGTTTTATAGATTTTATGTGTTTTTTTTGGGTGTGTCCAAACTTTTGACAATGTTGTGTTAATCATCCTGTCTCTCTATTAAATTATTTTGAGCCAATAAGTGGGCAATGTGTGGCTCAGCAAGTTAAGAAGTACTTCAGAAGTTTCAGAAGTACTTGGATTAACACTTCCAGGATTATACTCTTATTTAAAAAAATAATAATAAATTGTATTACTTGCCAACAGACCTTTTTTTGAGTGATAATATTGGTAGCCCAGTAGAACCAGTATCAGAATGTATTCACTTATGAGACATCTAAGCACTTATAAGCACTTATGTAACTTGCTCTGGCTAAGGGCGTCTGTCAAATGCCATAAATGTAAATGCACGATGACATGCCAGAGGGTGAAAGGTCAAGGTTCAAATCCCTGGACTGGGAGAGGAGTTTCACTGTTGAGCCCCCAAGCAAGGGAGTGACCCTATATTCTCAATTGTATGTCGCTTTGGGTAAAAGTAAATAAATGCAATCAGAGGTGAAGGGACTCAGACATGCCGGTTACTGCTTATAGTCTTCCTTATGTTCGCTCCAATAATGACACACAAATCCATGAGACGCAGCTGTAAGGGGACATTCCTGCAGCTTCCCACACCCTTCAGGGAGGTACACACACACGTGACATATGTCCAGCGTATCACTCATGACTTCATGTTCTTGCCTGAGAATCATTTCAGTCACTTTTGTTAGTCTGATAGCGTCTGGTTGTTAGAAATAGTGAGACCGGATAGGATTGGATGGTCTGGTGTGGGGTGAAGCCAAGTGACAAACCCATTCATTCACTTCACCTGAGCCTTGTTGCCAGTCCTATAAGACAGGGTTATGCTTTTTCTATCAGCCCCGAACATAGAACCATCCCTTCCTCCCATCCAGATGTCACCGGGCTATAACATTACACAGGGCTCTAACCTAAAAAGAGGTTCTGAGCTAGCCCTTAAGTTCACTCCTTTGGCCACCCATAGTCAGATGCAAAGTTCTTGGTTAGAATTGAAAACCTTGTAATACCATCACTTTACTACAAACTCCACAAATCACTGTGGACTGTCCACGGAGAAGGTGAGGGTAAGGGTGGTGAAGATCTCTGTTTACACTAACGAGCTCCACGGGGTGCTACACCTCAAACCGGAGTTGTGTGAGATGCTCCTCTGATGGTTCTCAACCTCAATGGGTTTATCACATGGCATATGCCACCATAATACTGAATCATCCCCATGGCAACAGAGTGGCATAAAGGAATGGATGAAGCACACCGATGGTGGAAGGAGGTTCAGAGGAGCTCATCCAGACGTTGAACGGGGCCTGTCACCGAACACGAGTGGTCACCACCATGCGTGTCACGCCACGGGAGTGAGACCCGAGGGCCGAGACGAGCCAAGCATGTTAGATGTTGAAACACGCCTGCGTTCGACACAGGTCTAAGTGCCATGGGAAAATCCATATGGGAGCGATCAGCGTGACAGACGGGTGGGACCGAGCACAGAAGGGGTGAAGCGGGTTCGCTCACAAGCGAGCGTGGGAACGACACCCATCTGGCTACTTTGAAGGATCCGCCATCAGATCTGAGAAGGAGCCAATTCCAAATGCCCCATGGTGGAGTGATGGACATCCTGAGGCGTCGCGCACTCCGCATTTTTAACATGTTTCACTTAATCAGATATTTTCCCGATTGGCTTTTGCAAGTACGTAGGTTCTGTAAACCGATATGTAATATGATAGTGTTCTCCACGTAAAGCATTTTCTCTAAAGCGTCTCGACCAAAATCTAAGAGTTTTGTTAAGGAATTCTGCATCAAACCATGAATGTTTTGCTCAGTTGAGACAGAATAAAAACTCCTGTGATGATGTACTATACAATGAGTGGCGTAATCAAACATCCGTGATGAGTACAGGAATTTGCCCTAATTGGCTATGCTTATTATCTTGAGATGTATGGCTACGGCGGGCTATAAGTGAAAACTGATAACGTAGCGATAACATGCTTAATGACTTTCCTGGACCACAGAGTTCACAGAGCGGTCAGATTTTTGCTAAAGATTAAAAGTCGCTCTGTCTATAGAAGCCGGAAAACTTCATTAAGAGTGGATTCAAAAAAAGACTCATTACCCTTTAATCATCACCATAATTTATCATGCATCTGTCAGACTGAACTTTGAAAGCAGATTTATGCACACAAATAGATTCCTGATGTTTCAGATAAATAAGCAAATAACTTTTTGTCTGAGAATATGAAGAAACAGAAAAACAGCTATTCTGTGTTGCCTTTCAAGCATTAAAAAAACAAACCAAAAAAATTCCTATCAGAGCCAATGTCAACTGGTCAAACATGTTTTGCAAAGTAGACAACTTTGATGAGGTCAAGTTTTTAAATTAAATTTAATAAACACATCTGGTACACTGCTGATACACTACCCATCCCCCAGGGGATGCTGTGACATTGACAGGACACCATATCATCCTTTGGTATCAGTTTGTAGTGCACAAAGTACAATATCAGACACTGACCTATGGAATAGATAACAAAAATCATCTGTGACAACTGACCAAGTTGGTGTTCCTGCAGGGGGCGCCCAACCAAGAGCTACCATTCCTACAGGGGAGACCCTACCCAACATGGCATTCCTGCAGGGGCTACCATGCTGAAGCTAATGGTCCTGCAGGGGGCGCCCTATCTAGAGCTGAAATTCCTGCAGGGAGTGCTGCTCATCCACGGCGGTACATAAGTGTGCTGGTGATGGATCAGTGATGGTGTCACTGGCCAAAGCAAGCTCACATGAGGGTTTTCAGAGACTGACCCCCCTGGAGTCACGCTGACGGTTCCCGCCTCCCGTCCTGCAGGATCACAAGCTGAAGAGGACGACCCTAAGATGAGACCTGAAGCCAGGCGGATTAAGTAATTGACCCAGAGCTGCTACGGGGTGTAAGACCTCCTCTAGAGAGTTATCACTTCCATACCTGATAACGCTCATAACTAACCTACATTAAAGCTTCTTGCACCTGATCAGCGAATGAACAACATGTTACATTTCAAATGGAATCTGAGCAAAATTGGTAAATAAAAACATGTCGCACCACAATCAGCAAAAGACAAGATTATTCTAGCGCATTTGCAGTGGCTTGAATGTTGTCTGGTGTGAGAAACATCTGCTGTGCCGTCGATCTCACACCTGTAGACGAGCTCTGAAAAATTATTTAAACAAATAAACTGAAACAATTAAGGCAAATGAAAACATCGCGGCTGTAGCACAGTCAGGTCACTGCATTTGTTCACATCTCGTCCAGCAGGATAACTGGTATCTAATAAAAATAATGCTGTAACAATTAACTCTGTGGGGCTCTGTGCTGGCTCTCTCTGTCTGTGCACGCACCCAAATGCTCACAGCCTGGATCCATCCCTGCCCCTGATAGGGGGGGTGATCCTTGAGTTCAGAGTGTCCCGCCCTGCCCCAGGCCCCCTCTGAAGGGGGCGCCGATTTAAGAGCAGGCGGGAGGCGGCCCGTCATATCAGAGTGGTGCAGCAGCGGCCATGGCAACACACGACACCAACATGAGGCTGAAGTTCCCCATCCTGGCCATCGCCTTGGAGATTCTCATCATCATCCTGTATGCCCTGTTTGTGGTCTACGACGATGGCAGCCCGGAACATGGTCACAGCTCATCCAGTAACCACACGGAGCAGAACAATGTCAGCCTTTACCCGAGTGAGTTTCCCAGGGTGTCGGGGAGGTAGGGAATGGAGAACGGGGGGGGGGTTGCCTTTCTGTCTTCAGTCATGAGAGTAAAAGTTTAAAAGTATCAAACCAGCCACAGTGCTCACAGAAAGTCCTGAGATGTTTGCTTAATTCTGTAAAAATGCTGCAAATTTATTATTTACACAACAAAACTTCATTGAGGCAGTGATTAACGTATCTGCACATACTTTCCACACATATTCTTTTAAGTGTCGTAATTTTTTTGATTGACTCAGTTCTGTTCTTGCCATGTTGCTATTTATTGCATTTGTAGTCATTGGCTACCAATGGATGCTAAGCACAAATGTTTGGCATTTTATGCCGCAAAGGTGTTACTAATTAAAAAGCACCCAATGACACTGCTTGTCAATGAACTTTTTAATCCAAAATTACTACTTGAAATGAATGTTTCACTTAAAATTATTGGTTGCTTCTAATATGATATATGTTTTTTGCATACATATGAATAACGTAATGATATTTGTTATTAAATCAATAAATTTGCAATATTTTTACTGAATTAAGCAAGCATCCCAAGACTTTGCATGAGTGCCATATGGCGGTTTGACGGGGGCTCTGTGTTTACAACACAAGCTGGCGCAGCTGGGTGGAGTCAGGACCAATCAAGCAGGGACACAGTTAGTTATCAGAGCTCATCTCCGGGGACTCGCTGCGCAGCAAACTACTTGAGTTACTCCATTAATTCTCTTGGGAGCAGGGCTGGTGAGGGGCAAGCGAAGGCAGTCAAATTCTGTGACTTTGAAGGGAAAAAGTCTGAAATGTCCCCTCCTGACTGTACCTCATGTGGCAGAAAAGCCGCAGACAGGAGCGATAACACAAGAGCTTCACATAAACCCTGCATCTGCTTTCAGCACATACAGGAGCGGGCTACGGTTTTTACACACGCTTCTGAAAAAAGGGCAGGTGGACAAACATGGTATTTTTACCACTTATTATCATATTACTTATTATATGCTCATCACTGTTTGTAATAATCTCTGCAGTCATTTTAATTTTTTTTTTTTACATTCAGTTCCCCCACAAAAAAAAGTAGGACATGTGTCAGAATGCGTCAGAATGTTCAACATGTCTCAAAATGTGCTATATTTATAAACAAAACACTGAGAATTCACTACCACCTTAATCAGCTCCATTTCTTTTTCCAAGTCAGCATTACATGCTATACCAACTTTCCCATATAATTGTACACTGAAACAATCTTACCTGCACATTTCAGGTCATTGTTAAATGTAAACATCAGATCATAAAATGGGTTTTAACTGATGTACGTACTGCTGTTGGTAATTTGCATTAAAAATGCATCTGTGGTTTGTTTTTGCATAATAAATACTGTGGAAATGAAATTACAAGGTGCGAAAGATTGAGGGACCGTAATAACATGGTGCATGTGAAAGGAAACCTGCTTACATCTCCACTAAATGAAAATGGAGACATGTGAAATTGTGAAATGTGACGGACATGCTATCCAGGACAGGGATTGAAGTAATATGCGGACCTTTGAAATTTGGGATTGGTCAAATGTTCCTAGATACAGTGTTTATATATATCACTGTCAACATCCAAGCTGATGAAGGCTGGAGAAAAACTACGAGCTTAAATTTCTATCAGTACTGATGAGCTGTAGGTGTCAGCAGCCAGCACAGACTAGCGCAGCTTGTTTTTAAACAGTTACACAGTTACACAGAAGAGTATTGTGACAGTAGTTAGGGTCTCACTGCTTTGTTAACACTGACCACTGCTCTAGTACATTTACAGCTGTGTAGTATATCTATATTCACATCATGGTACTTACTAAAAAAAAATAAAAAGAGAGTTTGCCTTAGGGTGGGATCACAAGTTCCTCTGGGGACTTTCTTTACCACAGAGCCACCTGCTAGCTACGCACTGTAGGACACACCCCTTAAAAGTAGCCAATCAGATCAAGAGCTACAGTGGCATCGGAGTGACCTCAAAAGCAACCCCCGTCCGTGTCAGAGTATGAGCCGCCTGTACATCCCCAGCGCACTCTCAGACAGGAAGCGCTGGAGGCCCCTCACACAACCCCCTACCTGAGCTTTTCTCCAGATGTCGGTTAGACACAAAGGCCTCGCTTGCAAACACCCTACCATTGGCATTCGCTTCCTTAATGGGGGGGCAGCCTTAATGGGACCCCCAGACGGCTGGAGCTCACGAACCCCTGGATACGCTCTGGATACTCAAAGTGAGACGTAGATGATAGGGAGGGAGATCTGATAAGAATTATAACCTCTTTCATGGAACGGGGGCCAGCTCAGCATAATAACACTCAACAACTAATCCCACATCTCGAGAAGCAGTGAGATCTTACAAACCTTAAAGGCTGAGGCCTGCAGGTTCTCGACAAGATTTGGAGATCACTTGCTCAGCTACAGATCCTTATAAACCAGGTATCCTTCTAAATCATTGGTAATGCCACTGTCACCTCAGTTAGAATGAAATCCTGACTTGATTTTTTATCCGTATTTACTACAGCAGCACGCAGCTGAAAATGCATTCAGCTACTTCCCACTTGTTTCACGGCATCCATCCATCTACCCACTTTCCATAACCACTTTTCCAGTAGCACCCAAGCACACAGGTCAAAAGACAGGGGACACTCTGGGCATCACCACATGATTGCACCACACTCTGAAGCTATTCTACAGCCCCTCAAAACACCACATGACTCTCAGAGCAAATCAGCTAATCTCCATTCATCAAAATGATCACCTTCATACAAAGACGTGTGAATTTGCTTCTGTTTGAGATGATTGGTTCTAGTGCTGGAGTCTAACCAGACTAGGAATGCAAATCCAAACGTGATAAACCACTTAGCAATCAAGAAAATGTTACTTAATAAATCAACCTGCCATACACAGAACACCCGAGACGTGATGAAGTCAAGGAGGAACATCGAAATGGGCTTTGCTACCACAAAACACATGCAGATAACACCACAGTGCTTACAAAGGGACTTCTCAGTAATGTGGTCTCTCACACAATGTCGCCCCCTACAGGATGAGTCTGACATTGTAAACTTTGATAAATTTCATTGACATTTGACTCTGAGAACCGGCACCTCTCATACCAAAATACTCTTCATCCAGACACGGTAGGTGCAGCATGGTGGAGCATCAGACAGATAAGGTGCCTTTTCGTGTTACTGATCAAGCGTATTCCCAGCAGTCTGTCTGGAACGCTGCACATTCCCATCACTGACCTAGCCATGTTTCTCCACAGTGTTCCAGGATGTGCACGTCATGATCTTCATCGGCTTCGGCTTCCTCATGACCTTCCTGAAGAGATACAGCTTCAGTAGCGTGGGCTTCAACCTTCTGCTGGCCGGCTTCGGGCTGCAGTGGGGTCTGCTCATGCAGGGCATCTGGCACGGTGTTCCCATCAAAGTGAACATCTCCAGGTAAACGGGCAGCCAGGGCACCAGCAGACGCCAGTCAAAGCTGCCCATCACAACCCACCCTCTTCACATCTGCTTCTCTGCACTTGCGTGATCATGTGGCTTGGTTCGGAATGTTTGGTATCTATGTCTGTGATCAGGAGGTAGTTGGCTCAAATCCCAGAGTAGCCACACCTGTGGGGCCTTGCACAAGGTCCTTAACCTGCCAAAAAATGCCCCAGGGGTGCTGCATGAATGGCTGACCATGTTCTCAGATCCCAAACTTTTTTTCCTCAACTGTACACGTGTATGCCTTCATTAATTTTGCTGATACTTTTATCCAAAGGAACATACAATTCAGAGAACAGGGCCAGTTAGTCCATAGAGCAGCTGAGACTGACACAATCCAATGTCCCTGTTTGCCTGCAAATGGCAAATAAAGCATCATTTCATAACAACCTCCTCCCGCACCCACAGGATGATAAATGCAGACTTCAGCACAGCGACAGTACTCATCTCCTTCGGCGCTGTTCTGGGTAAAACCAGCCCAGTCCAGCTACTGATCATGACAATTCTGGAAATCACCACATTCGCCATCAACGAGTACGTCGTCGTGGATATATTTGAGGTTGGTCCACGATGTCACCGATTACCCATGAGCCCCCAGAACACCGGCTCAGTGGGAACATGTGGAATGATCCCACATGTGAGCTCAAATGCATGTTCCGCGTGTTCCATCTTCACAGGCCAGGGATGTCGGCGCTTCCATGACCATCCATGCATTTGGAGCGTACTTCGGCTTGTCTGCAGCTCGCATGCTGTACCGACCCGGCCTTAGGAATGGCCATGAGAAAGAAGGCTCCGTTTACCACTCGGACGTGTTCGCCATGATCGGTAAGGAGCGCCGCATTCACATTGTCGCCATCTGCTACTTTTTAAAAGTCAGCTCTTCCTGACATTGAAACAAATGACACTGAGACAATTGCTGCGGTCAGGACCATGCGTCATGGGTTAGGTACGGTGAGGAGTGAGACATGGAAAATGTAAGTTGGATGTAGACGTCCTGGAGACAGGACGGGCGTTGGTGTCTGGGAGGAGGTTCACTAGGAAGGAAAAGAAGCAAATGTTCAAAATGCCACCAAAAAAGGAACAGGTGGATTAGAACCAACACAATAGGTCGGCTGACATCACAAGACGGCAGCCCTCCCTGCCCAACTCACAATGTGTCACCTGCACCCTCTGGTGGACAAATAGCGCATTGCTTCCATTACATTATTTCTGATGTTGAACCTGTTCAACACTTTTGCAGGCACCGTGTTTCTGTGGATGTTCTGGCCCAGTTTCAACTCTGCCATCGCAGATCCGGGCAAGGCTCAGCTCACGGCCATCACAAACACCTACTTTTCCCTGGCCGCTTGTGTGCTCACGGCCTATGCCATCTCCAGCCTTGTGGACCACCGAGGAAAACTGGACATGGTGAGTCATAAAAATCCATTACCAAAAATCCATAGCTACTCCAGTGAGCGTTCAGAGATCTGGAGAGCTTAGCCACTGCTGTGTCTGTTCCTTGACCAGGTACATATCCAGAATGCCACGCTGGCCGGAGGCGTCGCCGTGGGAACTTGTGCAGACATGAACATCGAACCATTTGGTGCCATGATAATTGGCTCCTTGGCTGGGATAATCTCCACCCTAGGCTTTAAGTTCCTGTCCGTAAGTTACAAAGAGGAATACCACCCACCAATATGGAGGCAGCTGGAGATCTACCACACCTCTAGCCTCTTGTTCTAGCCCTCCATATATAAGTGATATATTAATTTATATCCATGCATTAGCTCTAGTTACAGGGAGATCATTTATAAGAGTCTCTGTTTTCCAGCCAATCTTGGCATCGACACTGGGCATCCAGGACACGTGTGGTGTGCACAACCTGCACGGCATGCCGGGGATTCTGGGAGGAGTGGCCGGGATAGTGGCTGTGGCTCTGGGCAAAGCAAAGTAAGACAAAAAAGCCCTTTTATTAATTACTGAGATTAACTCATTACTTAGTGATATTTCCATACGGTATAATTTATCAGTTATTGTTACGCATATAAAGATGATGAGATAATAAGCAATGAGATACCAATGAGTAGAAACACTGCTTACCAGTGAGGCGTCCACTCCAAAGCGGGTACGCCACCCTGCGGCGCAGGGTCACACCTGCATCCACCTCACCATGGCCTCAGAGGTCGATAACACATCCTTTTTCTCCATCCAGTGGTAGTGCCAGCTACCAGCTCGCTGCCCTCGGATCTTCTCTGGGTTTTGCTGTGGTTGGAGGAGCCATCACAGGTCTGTGGGCCAGACTTCACCGAGATATTCTTCAGAAAGTCATGAATTCTTGGGCTCCAGTGCCACATCAATGATTTTATTTGAACTGTATTAGGGCTCCAGTGCCACATCAATTACTTTATTTTAACTGTATTAGGGCTCCAGTGCCACATCAGTGACTTTATTTGAACTGTATTAGGGTTCCTTATGAGGCTTCCATTGTGGGGACAACCACCAGACCAGAACTGCTTTGATGATGCCATTTACTGGGAGGTGGGTGAATGTTTCCTACTCACACTTTACATTGTGCCAGCCCACATATTTGTGTTACAAAGCTCTGCTGTGACTGTGTGTGTCCTGCAGGTACCTGAAGAGGAGGAGGAGAATGAGGAGTGCCTGGCGCATGACCACTCCAAGAATAAGGCGGAGGCCTGAAGCGAGGACATCACAAAATCCAGCAGAACCCGCCCAAGAACAGCCCTCATGTTCATAAATGCCTGCTTCCCCGTGTGAGACGTGTGTCCTCGTGTGAACGTCTTAGTCTTCCAGCTACTTCACTGCTTTATGGTTTCTTAGTAACTGCTTAAATGTGTAGGATTCAGGGACGTTGTATAGAAACCACTGCTACTCAGTCATGAGGCTGTGATCAGATACGCTCTTCACACCAATATCACTGGCTACCAAAGAACATTTCCACGAGCTAAATTACCCTGCAGGCCGCCAACTAACCATTATGATGATATCAGATCAAATCAAATCACATCAAATCAATGTTTATTTATCAAATGCACAACAGTACAGCAAACAGCAGGAGTTCCAGGCAGTGAAATGAGTAAATATGAATGAGCTAAAATGATTTGATATGAAAAGAACTTTCCTGCATTTGCTCTAGTACACATTCATTTTCTAAATAATTTAGACTGACATTAGTTATCTTGTCAGAAGCAAGACTGCAATTTATTTACCTAAAATTTAATTTAGTTAGCAGACAGTTTTACCCATAGCAAAGCACATACTTGAGAAAGCAGGATCAGACAGTCCTTAGAGCAACTGGGGGTTAAGGGCCTTGCTTAGAGGCCCAATGGTGATGTCATTTTAGTGATGTCATTTTAGTGATGTCATTTTGGTGATGTCATTTTGCCGACCCTGGGCTCCAAACCAGCGACCTTCATTTCACAGGCACTGTATCCTAACCCGCTGAGCTGCTCCCATCACCCCCATGATGGTAGGTCATACCTCGAGAAATGGAGGTTAGATCAGATGGGGCGCAGCTCTTTATATTCGAATGAGCTCCCAGAAGGTCAGCAGAAGGTCAGCGGAGGACTGAACAAGACTAGAACCTAAAACTGGAGCCAAGAACGGAGATGCATCTGATCCCCGGGGACAGACGGGCAGGTCTATGGCATATATCCACTGCATTAAACCCAGCTTTACCTCATAATGTATATATTAAAGGACGTGGTCCATTTCTTTTTAGCCTTATCATCCGCTAAAATGACAGACGTCTTGGCTTGGCGACAGTTTGAGGACACTCAGTACTCTATCCTTAAAGACATTTCAACACACTGGACTGAATGATTTTTCTGATTAAAAAAAGTTCAATAAGACAAACTCTTCATTTAGTGGGGCAAATAAACTTGAAATGGGACTGATAATAGTTAGGCACTGTGTGAAAGTTGTAGTATTCCTAAAGGCAGCAAAATCCACAATATGATATATGAATGAATGAAAAATTGTGGAGTTTAAAATGTATAAATACTGTCATAAATATTTTGTAACTTTGTATTAAATTGTGCCATTTTCTGTACTTGCTTATTTTTAAAGGCTGTACAAATTATACATATGAAAATGGTCAAGTACATTTTTAGTAAATGTGTCAAACCTGAGGCTCTGTGTGTTTATAAAGTATGACATTTGAGTTGTGGCACTTCACAGATACGTACAGAACATCCACTGTGTGCACAGAGAACAAGCAACACTGCCTGACATGCGGAGCAGTGAGAAGCATCAAAATCAGTTTAGAAAGCAGCTAGAAACCACACTTCTGACTAACTTAAGTCTTTATAGAGGTACACATAGATAAATAACACACAGCTGCAAACATCTGGCACTGAATCTGCTGCAGGATTCAAAGCATCCATGAATAAAGCAAGTTCACATTATGATTAGCAATGCATGACAGCCTGGCGCATGACCACTCCAAAAACAAGACGGAGGCCTGAAGCAAGGACATCACGAAATCCATGTGACACTCTTGTGTCTCGTTTCCAACGCGGTGCTGGACTTTTTCCCAATCAGGCACTTGTTCTACGCGTTTCCACCACAAAATATAGCCCTGTGCCAGGAAAAAAACAGCTCCAGCACAGCATCACAGGAAAGGCGGGCTCAGAATGTGGTACCGTAATGTCAGCGAAAGTGGGACGGGCTATTGCATCCAAACCTTCTGCATACTTGGAAAATTCAATCCATAACCACAACCAATCCATATAGGTGCCAGCAGTGAAACAACTTGCCAGCTTATTAGCGGAGTAATGTTATTGTTTTTTTATTCTGTGAAAAACAAAAGATCGATTTGCGGACAGCAAAGTTTGGTTTTTACCAGACTCTTTTATTCCGCAATCATAAGAAGGACAGTGGTAAAACAACGAGTGACAATAAACTCATTTACACACATAGACGTGGGAGCCTTTGAGACAAAAGTGGATACAGGCAATAGGGACACGGCGCAATGAGTCATACTCCCAAAATGTTTTTTTTTAGTCCAGCAAAATAAATCTAAAAAAAACTAAATACAGATTAACCTTTACTTCACTTTCACTGACTGCATACATAACATTTCTGTTCTGTTCGTTTTTGAAACTGGTGGAAACGTGGGCAGGTTCTCGAAAGGTATCAAGCGAGATCCAGCCCAGCACCAGCTCCATGCTGATGGAAACGAAGCATTGGTGCCGTTTTCTGTACAGCGGGATGGCAGGTGCCTCACTACTGGTCAGCGGTCTGCGTTAGTTCCAGAATGCATTTTGCTGCTGTGCCCTTGAGCAAAGCCCTCAACCTGAATCCACTCATTTCTCAGTCCATTTATTTGCTTAAGGGCCCTTCATTGAAATCACCGAAACTGCTAGCCTGCTCAGTCAGAAAACACAAATTAACATAAAAAAAATGAAAAGCACTGGCATTACTGGTCAGAACTTTGAGGTCGTACCTTCCAATACCTCTTGGCCATAGATCAGCTTTGCTCAGTCTGGTCTGGGTCTAGCTAAAGGGATGTCCTGATCTGGGAGACCACAGATCTGGAAGGTTTCAAACAGCAGCAAGGCTTTTAGCAGTCAGGCAGAAACAGGCCTATGGTGACATGATCAAAATGGCCACAGAGTCAAATGTTTGCCTGCAGCTTACTGACCGAACTCTGACATGCATCACCTGCACAATTGCTGTGCCATGTCCCTCAGAGGCAATAAACAGCAGTTTGAATATTGTTTTATTGTAACTGAATAAAAAAGTTAAACAAATAAATAAATTCTGTAGTTTTACTATCTGAATACGTGCCTGACTCTCAGGCCAGCAAAAGGCAACACACTAAGGTAAACTTACAGGTGTGTTTCAAGACTGCTGGAGACCACTTACAGGAGCAAAAGAACATCAGCAGAAGCTTCATCCACATATAGGAGCAGAAACTGAGCCCACAGCCCTGGTCTGAAGCCCAGAGCCACCAGTGCTAACAGTAAGATAAAAATATTCCTGCCAGCTGCTCTCTACTTCATGACCAGCTTAATCTTTCTCTCAGCTCACTGGATTTAACGATGTAGAAAACCGATTCGCTTTTCTAGAAAAACAAAAGTGTTTCAAAAGTGGAAAACCTTTCATCTTTTGGTCTCGGTAAATTGAAAGCTAATTTAATGGCCTGCATGCGCCGTTATCTCACTGGCCAGACATCAGCGAACAGCATTTTTTTCTGGATTTCTACAATTTGCTTATCAAGATATCTATGGAATGAATTTGGGAACTGGAAAACCTCATCTGACATTACACTTATTTTGACTTCTTTGATTTTCCCCCTACTCCTCATGCAAGAACAAAAGACTTCTGTAATCTTTGCCCTTCTGCAATACTGCCTTGAACTAATGGCCACACCTGGTTCTGACATCTCGATATTGTTTTTTCTCGGTAATCACCCATAATGAACTGCATCGGGGCCCAAGATCAGTTTGACACCAGCAACAGACCAAAGCTGGTCCTGTTGTTTTGTTTCTCAGTGCTACGAGGTATAATGGACCTGGGAAAAACCAAGATAAGGGCTCTGTGCCATTATTAGCGCTTGTGCTTTGTTAATTGCTGAGTAAACAGTTTCCATGTTTAATAACTATGTAACTGAAACATGACAATACAAATCCAAGCCTTTTGCCATATTTGCAGTCATTTTTGCCAGCTGTATAAGAAAATGCTGTTTTTATTTAATGAAATGCTCAATAAACAGATTCAGAGGCATGTGTGGGTCTGCCTTAATAGCCGACATAGTGTGTATGAGCAGCGCTGCCAACTTTGGTCAGCTGGCTGGAGTGAGATTTTCAATTCGAGACGAGTTTGCACACACGTTTACATGTACGCAACAGTTTAATTACCTTGTAAATAATTTTTAGGGTTTGCAAATTGCACCACTGTTTTGATGTAGCTAATTTTAGATTATGATGGAATATAGATTTACCTTAAGAATTCCTGCGTAAGGGTGACGGTCTGAAGGCGTGAGTGTCACGCCCGACGCGCGACAGCTAGAAGCCCCTGTATAAGTGGTTTTCAGTCTTAACTGCATACCTGCACACCCTTTTAAAGTTAACTTCCAGTGAACTTCCAACACACCCGTCCCAGCTTAATCCAGTATTGGTTATTTCCTACTCGATATCATATTGAGCTGGATAGGACAGCTAGTACACTCCACTAAAGGCTTTTTTAAATAATCGCTGTAATTATTAGACACCGCCATCCATGTGTAGCAAAGATGACACTAAGTCAAGGTGGTACCTTGAAACCTCTGCACTGTTAACACCTATAGTTACTGACCACAACCGTGTGAAACATAAGGATCCTTTAAAGATATATGCATGTAAATGTGCTGACGCAAGAAGTATTTCGACGACAGTCATAATGGCAGCCTAGGCGGCATTTCATTTAAATTTACATTGTGCATTGCCTCCTTAATTATTGTGATTTCTCTTACTCGTTCGAGATTTTCAAGAACTTAAGAGTCTTAAAAACGCGTTTCGTAAATGGCTTAATGACTCCATGCAAAAAGTCAGACTTAACCCTAAGTTAAAGTACCATCTGAAAGGATCACGAAACAACCCTTTAAGTTACCAGTCTGCTTTTCCAGCAAAGGTGCGTCCACCGCCCTTTCGCGCCGTACAGGGCTGCCCGCGTGCAGCCGTACGTGCCTACGTCACACGCAACAGTCCTGAGAGTTGTGGGATACAAGATGGTCGCCGCCTTTTGTGATACCTGGTGTGCGGTTTCCTCATAATAATTCGTGGCACCTAATAGCGAGCCGGTTAACACCCTGCAGGATACAATGCCTAAGTGATTTCGGTTTTCTGATATTCATCGCAAAATTCGCATTCGGGTTGTTGTTTCATAATGGTAAGTGGCTTGGGTTAAGGCTTGGTGAGGCTAACCGACAGATGGCTAAACAGAGACAGACGGCTGATGACCAGAACTGCAGGGATTAGCTGACTAGTTAGGAGGTTAGATACTTGATTACTTATGCATTAGTAGTTTGGTGGAGTTGAATGTGTTATATAAATTTGATAGTTTGTTCAGTCAGATGATGGGTAGATAGATGGGCGGATGCAACTTTTGCACAGGTATACGTACAAGAGCAACGAAATGTAGTTTTAGCATCTACCAGACATGTAAATGGTTTCAACATGCAAGGTAAAAAGAAGCCTTTGCATTCCATATGTATATACTAAATTATATACTATGAATATACAGTATGAATTACAATATACAGTATATATTATGAGAGATGAGTCAGTAAATACAGCATTAAAGTATGAACATGTAAATGGGATGTAAATTAGGACCATAGTACTGTTGGTAGGTCCTGAGTGAAGACTGTTCACTTGTGTTTCCCAGTCAGAGCGGGACTCCAAAGTGAAGAGACGTCCAGCCCAGTCGAGCACAGCATCAGATGAACGAAGGTCCCGGAGCACAGGTGAGGGTCCTGGCCTGCTCCTGCCCCACCCCTCTCCCGTTCCGCCCCCTCCTTGTCACTCGTTGCTGGCCCTGGCTGTCATGGGGGGTTTCTTCCTTCATACACAGAAAAGGACAAGAGGAAGCGGAAGCGCAGTCGTAGCCGGTCATCTTCGTCAGCTTCCACCTCGTCTAGCTCATCTTCCTCATCATCATCCTCGTCTTCCTCATCGTGCTCCTCCCTCAGTCGGAGCAGCTCCAGCAGCAGCAGCAGCAGCAGCAGCAGTGGGGGTGAGTTTGAGGACAAGTGGGGTGGGGGTGTCTGTATTGTGGGGCTAAACCACGTTCAGTCCCACAGGGACATCTGCACACACAGAGAGATGAAGGCCACACTGAGGTGGACTTGAGCAGGTGCCCCCCTTCTCTGTGATGCTGCCCCCTGTTGGGCTGACAGTCTAAGTGCAGACAGTTTAAAGTGCAGGATCCTCTCCAGCTTCTCCTAACTGACCGTCATCGTCTCTCTTTTCCATAGATTCCCACAGCAAGTCAAAGTCCAAGAAGAGGAGTAAGGAAAAGCGTCACAGAAAGGTAATGTGTGTCACCCCGTGTTAGCGGCTCTGTGGGGGGAGGGGCCCCCAGTCTGGGCCATGCCATGGGTGATTTACCAAAGTGATGTGTAGGTGTACTCCTTTGTCTGTTTGGGGAGGGAGTGTGTGAAATCTGCTCATGTTGATAGGAATCTGCCCCGGGTGTCAGGAAAAACATGTGTGATTCTTCCAGGCCGTGGCTTACAGTGTATGCTTCACTATTGATTCCCGCGGGGGTTGGGGGTGTCATAGATCATGTCTTGCAACCAAAATGTCCCCAAAGTGTGGTAAAACCTGAAACTTCCTTACTTTTGGGGACATTTTTCAGGTGCCCATTTGGATAACTTCAATTTTATAAAAGTCTGAGAATGCAATCAAAAAAGTAAAAGTGCCAGAAGTCTTGTACTTTGGTTATTTATAAGGGTGTAACAAGATCTCGCGATATTACAACATGACAAGATTTCTCGTCGGAGTGAAAAGCGGTCTCGCAAAGGCTCTGCACATCAGTTGATGCAAGCATGTCGGCGTCTGACGAAATTACCATAGTAGATGCCCCAGACACTTTTAAATCTTTCGTGTGGCAGCATTTTGGGTACCCGGCAGAAAATATAAATGATGAAAGGGTGACAGACAAAACACGAACCATCTGTAAGCATTGCAGGAAATTAATGCCGTACACAGCGGCGAACGCTACTACCATGCAAAGCCATTTGCAGCACCATCATAGCTCTTTACTTAATTCCACTGCACCAGTGAAGAAAACATTAAAAACAATTTTATGTTTGTTAATTATATTGTTTATTTATATTTTATGTTCAGTTGAGAAGTCAAATAGGAGAGAAGCCTGTCATTTGAGTTTGTGGCGAAATATTTTATGGTGCTAGACACATTTCACCATACATCTGCATTATTTAGCATTTTTTGTCTTTCAGATTAATCAAATAAAAGGCTGCTTTCCAGTAATATATTTCCTCTTTGAAGTTTTCCTTAAAATATTGCTAAAATGTCGTCTCATCTCGTTCTCGTGAACCCATAATCGTGTCTCGTCTCGTCTCATCTCGTGGGCTGAGCATATCGTCACACCCCTAGTTATTTATGGTTAAGGTTAGGGCTGGGTAGGGGTTATGGGTGTTTTTTGGGAGATTGAGATTAGGGTTTTTCCCATAGAAATGAATGAAAGGTCCCCATTTTGATAGGTACGCCAACGTGTGTATGTGTGTGTGTGTGTGTGTGACAGAGTGAGAGAATTAAGTCGTATATGTTGGGCCAGCATTCCATCCAGCAGTCACCCTGCCTCACACCCCCTGCTCCCCAGGGGGGACATAGCTTCATCGTGCCAGAGAGGGTTTATGAAAATGGGCATATGAGCAGAGGGGTTGAGTGGCTGCCCCTGTACCTTCATCAATGTAGATGTGCTTTTTGAGCTATAAGAAAGATCTCTCTTTTTATACAGTGCATGTGTATGAAGAACCTTTAACATATCGTTTCGAAGCTCTTACAAAGTGTATTAGCTTGAAGCTGTGGTACAGGATGTTTAACATTTAGAATAAACGAGGACGAATCGTGTGTGTGTGTGTTGTCTGTGTGTGTCTCACAGAAGGGAAAGAAACAGAAAAAACACAGAAAGAAGAAGGACAAGAAGAGTAGAGGTGAAGATGACGATTCTGGTCCGGTGCAAATATCCAAGGTAAGGGATGCTGGTCTTGCTAAACGAAAGTCAGACAGCCAGACCTTATTCCTCCCAGGGTGGGGGCGTGTTGTGGGGGGCTTTGGGCCATGAATTAATGGCAGGTCCCTGTTTCTCAGTATCTCAGGGAGAAGAGGAAGAGTGGGAAGTACAGCATGATCTCCGGAAAGAGGATCAAGCTGAAAGTCAAGAAGTCCAAGAAAGACAAGCAGGTGAAGGTCCTCACTTCTGCAGAGAACCATGTGTCTCCTAATGGTCTTACCATTATCTCCTATTGATTATCCCATTTTCTCTGGTTCTGTTTGCAGAGGGATAAAAATCGCGCAGAACTGCTTGAGTTCCTGAACTCTGCCCTGTGAACAGACCCCCCGGATTGTGGCTGTAATACAGCACCCCCCCCCCCCACTGCCACCCCGTCACTGTAGTTACAGAATTTTCCTCGACGTCCTGAATCCTTTTGCCAGGAGTTTCCTTGCAACCAGCTACAATGAAACTCAGGGAAATTCTTCACCTGATCCTGCACAGGGGTCGCGATCCTGCACAGAGGTCACGATCCTGCACAGGGGTCGCGTTGCTCATCACGTTTACCCGTCAGGACGACCACAAGAAAGTCTGGGCAGATGTTGAATAAGATCTCAGCAGAACAGTTGACCCTGTGGATTAGACTGGAAGAAACCTGTTGTCCACAAATTATTGGAACTCTTTCCCTGCCACGATTTAACATTTCATGGGTTTTAACCCTTTAGTAAGCAATACAACATATTTAGGATAATCATTACTTAAGGCAAATCTTAACTTTTTCACTGTTTCAGTCTTGAATCCTTGTTCCAGCTCTTCTCCTCCTCCAGGGGTCATTCCTGTGATCCATTACCTGCCTCTACTTAAAGAACTACCCTTCTCGTCATTTGTTTACGGTGGTGCTTATTGAAAATATGGTTTTAAGAACCAGGGGGTTTGGTAGGTGCAACATCAGAGTATTACACCAATGTCTGAGCTAAAGTAAAGATTGATGAGATCCTTTTATGATGACTGAATACTGTGTTTATTTTTATAGACAGTCTAGCTGGAGGAACGACAGGAACGTGGTTCTGAGGGAGTCCGTGGTTAATGTTTCTTTTTATGCTCAGATGATGCAGTATGATTGCTCTTGCATTCAGATCAGATCCATGTAAATATTGGCCCTAACAATCCCTGTACCAGAGTGATACCATTCACAGAATATTCTGGAATATTCCTGAAAGAAAAGCTTTCTGCCTGCCTTGATTGGTCACTTTGACAGGATATCTTCTTTTCAGAATCAATGTCAATGTAACATTCCCCCCCCCCTTTAAATAAAATATATATGTGTGTGTATGAAGTGGTTTTTTCAGACATGAGGTCTCACACATGCACTATTGCATTTTGAAGCCCGCCCATCTTTTGTTAGATGCGGGGGGTGATTTATTGAACCAGTGCAGACTTTGGCAGTTGACTGTGACCAGACTTAATTATCGTAGATTTTAGGTGCCGATGTCTTTGATCAACTTTTTCCCGGATGAGGTGCAGCACTGCAAGGTCGTCTGCCACCCTGAATTTCAAACAGGAATGTCACTAGTGGGTGTTCTTACGGCAGCAGTTCAGTAATTAAAGTCACGTCCTTTATTTCAAAATGTGAAGTCTGGCTTTAATGTAGGTGTCTATAAACTAATATTCATAAGTTGTTGCTTAACATCCGTACAAACATATAGCCTGCTGTCCTTCAAAGATGCAGCAGATTATAATCAATCCGTTGTTATAATCTGCCGTAAATGTTCCTGGAAATGAGCCTTACAGTTTGTCAAGTGTGATAAATGGCCATCTTTACAAAATGAGTTTATCAGACCCTATTCAAGAGAACTACACAGGCAGAGGTTGATCTTTTCACCTGCTTCTGAAAGACTCGTGAACCACAAGTCGTTCACGTCCTTGTTTCTTGGTGACTTGCTGCCCGTGTGTCTCCCTGTCAGATGACCTATCCCAGGATGCCCCGGGGCAGTCACATGCCCTTGTTGTGCTTAAAGTCGGGCATGCTCCAGCCCCGCCTGGCCTCCTCGGCCCCCTCCGAGCCCCTCACCAGCCCCCTTTCCACGTCCTCTGAGATCGTCTTCACCTCACTGCTGCCAAATGGGTCAATGCGGACACGGGACCTGAAGCCCATGAGGGACATGCTCGCGGCACGCTTGTTGTTCCACTGACGGGACAGCCTCTTGGCCTCCTCCTCATCCCGCATCCAGTCCAACGCCTCCAGCAGGATGGTGCGGAATAGGCCGGTAACCTCCTGTACATCCGGCTCGTTCTCTACCATCACCTGCCGGAACCTGCAGTAGGACAGGGGGGTCATGGGAGAGGGAGTGAGTCGCAGGACCGGGCCTATCCACCTGAGGGTGCCAGCACCATGTGACCCAGTGATCCTCAAAGTGTCTGGCAACCCCACCCACAGGGGGCGCCATGGCACTGCAGGGAGGGCATGAAGCATAAGAAATCCCAGGTTGAGAGTGTACTCAAATGTGCAGCAGACCCAGAGCATGTGAGCAGAGTGTGGAGTGATGAGAATTTCCAGTTACAGTATGTGGAGCAGTACGCCCCCCCGCACCCCCCCTCACAGCCAATGCAGGCTGCTCCGCTCATTATCACTCCCCGCTCACTCCAAAAAAGATTTATTTTAGCTTAAACTGCAGCCTAGCATGAAAACAACACCAGCCAAATCCATATTCAAGCAGAAATGACTTATTGCAAGAAAGTATTGCCAACTTTGTCATGTGATTTTCAGTTCGAGATGAGTCTGCACACTCATTACATGGATGTAGGTTTTATTAGCTTGTAAATAGTCTGTAGGGTTTGCAAACTACCACAACTCCTTTGATGTAGCTAATCTTAGATTTATAACGGAATCATACTGATTTGCCGTAAGATTTCTTGCATGTCACTTCAGACAGCGAACGTGGACCAAGATGAAGTGAGAGATAAGGGGATGTTCCAGTTTTGTTTTTTACATGACGCTCTGGTCCCGCTCCGGCCAAAATCCTTCCTTGCTCAGTCCTGCTCTGCTCTGGTTAGCGCGTTAAGCGGAACCAAAGTTAAATATATGTCTTTCAAGTGGAAGCAACAGAAAACAGCGCCTGTGGTTTTTTTTCTTTTCTTCCAGACAGTGAAACACATGTGAAGTAGAACATGAACATATTTATATTTATATATATATATATATATATATATATGACTGCTCCAAAAAATTTGGTAGGGTGGATACATGGGGGTACATGCTTACCCCAAGACATACAAAGAGAGAGCATTCCTATTTTCTGAGCGTCACGCTGTGCGGTAAATTCCACTTCTACTGGAAGAAAATGGCGTGTTCAGGATACACCGCAGGCAACGGGCAGAAGTGAAAACGAGTCCCTGCGGACCAGCTACACCGAGCAACATCACCGCTCCGTTTCAGAGCGAAACATAGCAGCTGCTGCCTGCGAGGCGGCGTGTGGGTGGCGAGATTCACAAAAGGTCTGAGTTCATCCCGGTGGGCTGAGCGTGTCCTTGGCCATATTCATACATTCTGGCATGTTCTCCAGAAGCTCTCCTGAATCAGCCAATGGCAGGGCTCCCAGGCCCCTGGAGACATCCGAACCCAAGCTCTGGTCTATCTAAGTGGCTTGGATTTGGGATGCACTGCGAGACACGTGGGCTTTTTGGTAAAGTGGGTGAACGCGGCTGATCCTAAGAGTGCCTTAATCTGCTAGGAGACCCAGTCCTGCCAGGGTAATGCAGTGCAGTCTCCACCAGTGAGATCTCACTGTGCATAGCAAAAACATTACCACCAAACATATGCATACAACACAAACGCCTGCTTTTAGTTATTTTTTTTCCAAATGTGCAATTTTGAAAAACCTTTTGTTGAAGTCGTTCTTCTCTGTCAATCCGTCCACTTAAACCGCTCATCTGAAGGGGACTGTCATCTTTTCAGCCTTGACCATAAATAAACCAGTAAGTCTGAGTCTGAATAAGCCGTCAGCCCTGTAAGCCAGTAAATCTGCTGCCCACAGAGATGTCTCTGCTAACTCAAGCCCCGTTACTGTATCAATGGCTGTTCTCTTCTATATCTCCTGTGGCTAAAGATGAATCTAGAATCTAGAATGCTCCTTTTACCTGCTGGTGTGGTTTTGCATGATTTAATACCCTGGCAGAGACATGGGCTTCTCCATCATCATCACCCCCCACCTCTGTCACCTTCACCCGAGAAACAGCATAATCACCCTTAAGGTGGCCGTCATGCCGTCGAGCGACTGAGCTGACGTCCCCTAAATGCACACATGCCCTATACCACAACATCTCATCTTCACTTTTTGGATCGTCAGTCCATTTCACTGAACATGATTTCTTAAAACCATCTCTTTAAACTGGCCCCTCTGACCCGAAGGTGACCTGTAACCTGTGACCCATGCCATAAAAAAGACCATTACGTACCAACAGAGACGGGTCTCAATCGGCTATAGGGAGTAACTTCTTCAAAAGACTCGGCAGCAGACAGGGGGCAACTCTGACACCAACATCTATATCTACATCTATAACTATATTATAATTTATATTATTTTATTATTTTTAGTTTGTCGGGTTGGGGACACTATATAGAATTTATATACGTTCATATATTTAAATTTAAATTTAATCGCTGTCTATATGTCTGTAATATTTATCTACAGTTTGTCGTAAGCATTTCAGTGTATGGCTGAATTATGCACATGACAAATAATGGACTCTGACTTGACTATAATAATAATAACAATAATAACAATAACAATTATCATTAAAATAAAAATAATAACAATTATTATTATTATTATTATTCTAGATTTATTTTTATTCTATCTAATGTCTAGCATTGGTGTGAAAGCAAACAGCTTTCCTTGTACATGTACAATGAAAATAAAGATGCTATCTTCTGGAACATTCTATTCTCTCCGCTTACCTGACTATGACCCGGCCGCAGTGTGAGGGGTGCACCTTGGAGCAGAGCTCCTCCAGGCCCAGCCGCTCGCCGGCCCGCAGCTCGTAGCTGCTCCGTGGGAAGCTCATCAGCCAGCTGTAGTCCACGCCGGTGCGCAGCCGCTGGTACTCGCTGTCCCGTTCCCGCTGCAGCCGCTCCGCCTCCTTCATCTGCCAACTGAGCTCCAGCATCAGGGTGTCCGTCACCACGTCGGCTGGGCTCCTCTGCGGCCGCCGCGGGCACGGCTCGCCCCAGCTGAACCAGGACGCCATGCTCGCTACCTCACTGCTGCCCTGGAAATATAACCTTCAGACAGCAGGTGGCGTGGCCATTAAAGGACATTCAGCATATAACCTGAAGGGGACGTCCAGCATGGAGCAAGAAACAAGGGAAAAAAGGCTGTATAAATGACAAAATTGTGTTTTTTGGATAAAAATAGTAGATAAGCATATAAATATAAACTCCTTCTCCTTGATGTCTGATCACATTTGTAACCTGGAGCTGTGAACGTCATAAAGAGCTTTGTGTGAACATATTTGGAGAGTTTCACTGCTTAATAAAAGTACTTCAAAGCATTAGCGGTTAGCATGGTGTGGCTGAGTCTTCCCCATGTTGCTCATCCGTCTGCCTGCATATAAGACCTTTCACACTGAGCACAGAATAAGCCGTGCCGCTCTCTCGCTGCCCCACCGGCTCCTTCCACGGTCCTCACACAGTTCCACCGCAGGCTCCTCAGATCCTCCAGATCAAAGCTCCCTGTGGCGACTGCCAGCCTCTGCCAGCCTCTGCCAGCCAGCCTCCATTTCTCGCCGCCTCCCAATAAAACCTCCATTTACATTCTTCTGAAGCTCAAACGGACGCGAGTCGCTTCGATTTCAAACTCTCCCCCCCAAGGACTTCAGGCTCCTTTTGGCGAGTCGGCTGTTCAATGGAAGTGAGATTCATGTGTCGCTTGCCTCATATATGTGTGTGTCATCTCTCCCCTCATCCTGACCCATATCACCCTCATGATGAAGGTGGCTTTCTCTCCTCCTCACCTACAGATGGATGTGGTTCTCCGCTGTGCTGCTTTATCTACAGTGTAAAATCCCACCAGCAGCAGGTGACAGAAATTAGCAGAAAGTTTTGCTGCTATTCATCGTTACTCAGTGTCACTCTAAAACTGTAAAATGTCACCTCTTGCTTTGTATGTTTTGTCACCACTAACTGATCCCTGAAACAGCACCACCAGTGTTTGCATGATGCCCATCTCGGGCTACCTAACCCTATACGGAGCACCGGGGGCTCGCTGAACGACGGGTTCCATCCTACCTGCTCCCTTTCTCTGCACTCCCGTGAAGTCAAAATAGAGTGAGGCTCCCTGGCTGGGAGTGTCCTATGCAGTCTTGGGTGCCCGCGGCGTTCCTGTCCCCCCCCCCCCCCCGTCCCCCAGCCTGAGCCTCTGCCCTCACTTCTCGCTTGAGGCTGGTTATGCCGTCTCAAGGGACCTCAGCGCATAGCACCCCGACGGTGACTGATAATGATTTACGGTCGCCATAGCGATGTATCTAAGCCTGTTTGGCCACAATGAGCTTTAAGTATGAGGAAGAGAGAGAGAGAGAGAGAGAGAGAGAGAGATGAGGCAGAGATGAGGCAGAGATACATCACACAGACAGAACTCGATATGCGAATCTGCAGGAAATCATCAGTAGGAGGCTTCATGTGTGGGTGGTCAATTTACCAATCGAGTTTGTCACAAAAAACAAAAAAACATCTCAAACTGATCATTAAAATAAATGCGTGCGGGGTCATGGTGACTCAACCTAATTGATTCTGGATGTAGGTGTTAGATCTCATGCAAAGACAAAAGCTATAAATTCATTCAAGATGCACCGCATGTTCAAGACAACAAATAAATGTTTCATGAGTAAAGATTCTACGAGTCACCTATTCAGGGAAGTGTCTCTTCAGGGATTTTCCCCCCTGCTGCTATTTTACATTCACATTTCATCTATTTAGTAGACGCTGAAGGTGACGTACAAGTGAGGCAAATGGCGCATTACAAACATACGGCTGTCAGGGACTCGGCAGAAGTGCAGCTAGGCTGAGCTTCCAATGAATGCCCAGGTAACAGTGTAAGCAGTACAGGAGCAAGAGCTGCACAGCATCTTCCAAACAAAGCAGGAAGCTAATAAGACGAATATTCAATGAGTAGGGAGTGCAGCGTTAGGAGCCTTCAGGGAACATGGACTGGAATCAGGCTAGTAGAGGTGTTCCTGGAACAGATGGGTCTTGAGGTGTTTCTTGACGGTGGAGAGGGAATTCTGGTGCACATTGACTTATGGCAGATGGACGGGTAGAATCTCCTCCTAATCCATGCTGATTCTCTAAGCTGCAGCTCTGAGGCTGTGTGAGGTCACCTTCTGATGGTTAACACTCCTGCTTCGGCTCTGCCTGCCCTCCCACCAGAGTGAGCCACTGTGTTCCCCCCCCCCCCCACCCCAACCCCCTGCACAACCTCTCACACCCAAACCAGCCTCATGTGAGCTCTGTGAGCACCACCACTCAAACCACATATTTGCATGGGGCCCCCTGTTGGCCACAAGCAGTGACTACACTTAAAATTAAGCTAGCTACAATCGTGTGGATCTACTCATTAGCTATTCATTTCATTTTTGAAACATCTGAGGGGGGCGGAGGACCCCTAAATGACTTCTTCAGGGCGGTCTCAGAAACAAGAAGCTTGTGCCTATGTGAATGTGCCATGTGTCTTGATCCTCCACTTCAAGACATTTTACTCAATAAATACTCAAAATGAACACAGGTGACGTACTGTCTTACATTTACAACTACTTAGCAGATACTTTAATCAACAAGCAAATGAGAACGCAGAGTCAGGGGCAGCTCATGGGGTAGTTCATGGGGCAACAGGGGATTAAGGTCCTTGTACTCGGGCCCAGCAGAGAAATCACTCTTCTGACCCCAGGATTCAGACCAACGACTGTTTGCTCATGAACACAGCGCCCTAACCGGCTGAGCCACACACACCCCCCCACAAAACAAGCTGAAATGTAATCATATTGCCATACATTTATTTAACAGATGCTTTTTGTTGCCACGTCAAACAGCTTTTATTTACATGACCCATTTGTGCGGAATCTGTCTTGTGGATGTTGTAGGTAAATGAACAGGCTGCAGGACTGATGTGTAAATGGCCCTCTGTAAATCAGCCTTACTGTGAATCGAACACATTGTTTGAGTCTCACAGATCTATTTCGAAGTGTTATTTTAGTGAACATGCTGAGTATGACAACCGCTAATGTGAATGCCGGGTGCACCATGGACATCTCACGTTCTGGGTGTATTCGGTACCCACAGGGGCATCTCAGCGTTTATCTACAGGTGTGGAAAATGCAAACAACTTTATCACCATTGACAATACAGCTGCTGGTACAAAGTCTGTGTCCTTCAAGTACTGTGAGCTTTCAGTGGGATATTCTTGTGTTGCATCTTTTTCAGATAGAATCAATCAGGATTAAACTGACAATTTCTATAATTCAATCACCAGTCAAATTCAGGGATAAAAGACCGAGAACTTACTGTTCTAAATTACTTTCTCATAAATTTTTAAATATGACTCTTTCTGAGAGTGATAAATCCAAAAATTGTATTGCAAGTGACAGATGCTATTTCTAAGCTCAAACCCAGAAAGTAAAGAGTGCAGATCTGGGTATATACTGCAATCACGCTTTAGTGTGTGTTCTTTACTCTTTTGCAGAATGTCATTAACTGAAAATCTTCAGAAAAACCTATTCGCATTTCCACCACTAGGGGAAGGTCTTTCACTGCTTAATCACTCAGGCTTGCGTAATCACTGAGTTTGTTCCTACAATCAGATATGTTTTTTGTCCAGAGCCACTTTTTTCCTGGATAAAGTACATTTTCAGTAGTGTTTAGTCACAGACTCATCAATATAAACCATTAATGCTAACAAAACTTTTGAAACGATACATTTTCTGTTAAAAACCAAAGAGCTCCTAACTGGCTGGGTTTTTTTTTGAGTTTTCTTTCTCGCAAAGGCCGTGAGTCAGATCTGCGTGTCTTTAGAGCCCAGCTCTGACTCAGCACTCTGACAAAGATAGCGTCACACATGGGCCTCTGAGCAGGTCCCAGCAAACCCATTGTCCTTCACAGATGAACCCGGAGACCTGCTAACTCCTGGGCGTTGCCCTGCCGACACAGAATCGTTGCCATGGCCACGCGATTCACGTGGCACAGTGCCACAAACAGTTAGACAATAGGAAAAGCTGTCAGCAAATCTTTTGCTGTTTTATCTTTCACCTGTGAGTCTTGTGAGTTGTGTTGTTAAGACCTTTCGTTATATCAGTCCCTAAGCAAAATGACACCATCATACAAAAAAACAAAGGAAATGGCAGGTATTATGCTGAGGACCAAACACTGCCTCTGAGGGTCTCCAAAGCTAGAGAAATTCAACTCAACTTTTGCCTCTTGGGGAAAGAACAGCCGGACGGCAGATGCTGAAAGGAGGGTTTGTTGACTTTGTCCGTTCACCCTTCATTCCATCCCCTGCTCCTTCTGATTGTAGATAGACAGTCCCATGTTAAAATTTCACTATATGGATAAAAATATTGGGATACCTGGCCATTACACCTGCAGGAACGTTTATGACAACCCCACACCATTATCCCTCCTCTACCACACTTTAGATGGCACAGTGCAGTCAGGCAGGTAACGTTCTCCAGGCATCCTTCAAACCCAGACTCATCCATCAGACTGCCAGACAGAGAAGCACGATTCTTCACTCCACAGAACATGTTTCCATAGCTCCAGGGTCCAGTAGCAGCCATGGAAGCCCATTCCATGAAGCTTCCTGCATGCAGTTTTTGTGCTGGGACTAATGTCAGAGGAAGTTTGGAACTCTGCAGCTATTGAGTCAACAGAGCATTGGTGACTTTTCACACTCTGCGCCTCAGCACTCAGCCACCCCCCCCGCTCTACTACTTCACATGGTCTGCCACTTCATGGTTGAGTTTCTGTTCCTAAATGCTTCCACTTACCGTTGACCGTGAAATATCTGCCAGGGTAGATATGTCACAAACTGACTTATTGCAAAGGTGGCATCCTACGACAGTATCATGCCTGAATTTACTAAGCTCTTCAGAGCAACCCATTCTTTCACGGATGTTTGTAAATCTGACTGCATGGCTAGGTGCTTGAATTTATACACATGTGGCAATGGGTCTTAATGAAACAAGTAAATTCAATGATTAAGCGGTGTGTTCCAATAATTTTGAAACTTGTAAATCATCTTGAATTCATCTTGTACATTATATATTGTCCTGGAGTACTCCCAAAGAGACACATTCCTGGTATGTGTAACATGCGTAACCAGTATAGACCTTTCTGATTGAGATGAAGGTGCTTGTATCAGTAATGAACGGTTAAGGTGGGCAATTGTGAGTTAAGAGGACAGGGTTAGATGTACATCCAGCAGACGCAGGTCCTATCACTTCCACTGAAAAAGAAGGACTTCTTGCATTAATATATCTGATCTTCAATCACTGTTTGCAAAAATACTTCCTTAAAAATAATCTCGTAAGTCAAAGTCATTGTACTCAATCTCTTTTATCACAGACACAAACACACTGGACGAACATAGCAAAAAAGCACATTGGAACAACAGGACCTCAAAAAGTAGACAGTCAGCATTTCTATCGCCGACAAAAACAATCTGCAGAATTGCTAGCAAAAAGCAAGAAATTCAAAAGTGTAGAAGTTTAAGGAAGGAAACTCCGTCCCGTTATGCAAACAGCAGGAGAAACCTTACATCTGCTGGCGGCCCCTTTACATTGTTCTTAAGCCGACGGTGGTTCATAGCCATCAGAGGTCAGGGTTTTCAGTCTGTGGGATGATTCTAACTGTTCACAAATACACCGTCGATGACACACTCACTGGTAAGTTTAAACAGCACATGTTACTCACTGTGTCAAATCGAGCCAGAGTGTGGGATTAAAGCTTAAATGGCTCAATTAAGTAGAGTCTTAATCACAAAACTATTACAGGTGTTGAAATTCAAAAGTAACACTTTTTCAGCATATGTTTATAATATACTTCTGCATTCCTCCCCAGAGATACCAGTGAAAAGGTTCCAATCTGCCATGTTATTATTTATCAAGAAAACACTTCAACAGTTGCTGGGTACCCACATCACCTAACTCACTAACTCTAACTCACATCACTCTAACTCTAACCCACATCACCCAAACCTTAACCTAACCCACATCCCCCAAACCCTAACCTAACCCACATCACCCTAACCATCACAACTGAGATACAGTTTGAATTGCTTTGCAGGTTTGCGGCTCTGATCTTCCAGGAGGCTACAGCTGATGCTGTTTGTTTGCGATCTTTCTTGCCACCCATCTCATGTTTGGCAGCCGCTCCTGTAACTCTGGTTACAAACAGCCCGTGTTTGGAAGAGTGTCGCGCTTTTTCACCGCACACGTGATTGTGCAGAAGCAAGTAACTTGTCAGCAAACTCAAGAGAGGAAGCATGGCGCTCTGCCGAAACCGCAGGATGGTCACACTTCGCTGACACCAGGCATAATTTATCTGGCCTTGGGCTTCCTGGTTTTTC